GAGGTTTTTATTGTTTTATTATTATTATTTCAAGTTTTCCTACAAATGAAAAAAGGAAGAAAGAATGGTTGGAAATCATAGGACTGCCGAATATAAACGTTGGATCAAAGACCATCTTCATTTGTTCGCTTCATTTTGAAGAGTCAAATTTTAACAGAACTTTAAATGTAACTAGATTACATGACAATGCTATTCCATCATTAGGTTTATTGGTAAATAATTTTATGTTCAATTTAGATTAAACACGACTCATTTACTAGCTATTCTCAGTTCCTGAAAACAAAATTATCCACTCGTTTCTGATTTTTCCCAATGACAACTCTAACTATTAAAAATGACTATTTTTTTAAAGCCTGCAATACAATGACAACATACCAACGTATAGACAGCCTATTTGCCTTGCCTTGCCTTGTTCGGTGTCACTCGCCTAGCTGACCGAGTGAAGGCGAGCGCCAACGTGTATAGAGTTCATTCGGCTTATGACAAACCAAAGGCGCTCGACCAATAGCGTTCACACGTTAGTCCGTCTGCATATGAAATGCATACTACTGGTTTTATAACTCTATTCAAAAAAAAATCAAAACACAAAATAAAGAAGTATATATTATATATCAACAAAATGTCATGTTGTTCTGTTTCTGGAATAATCAGCATCCACCACGTTCGTTTTTGTCATTTCTTTTTTGCAACTTTATTGCGGGGATTTTATCGTGGGGAAAAGCTAGTACATGATAATTGCTGATTTCTTATAATTGATTTTTACAACTACTTCCATTATTTCTGTGTTAAAATTGCTTGATAGATTCATTTGCTTAAGAAAGCCCGGGAATTAACGGGAATACTAGAATCCGCAGAAACCTGAATAGACTTGTACTTGACGGTTAGTTAAAAGACGTTATGTAAACATGTACTAAAATGTAGGTTAAAGGCGTACCTCTTAAAGTAATTTTTATATTTTATTTAGTAAGTACAATTAATACTACGTAATGTTAAATACAAGTAAAGTAGGTATAATTAAGCAAGAATGCGCATGTCGCCAACAAACTGCACAGCAGTTTGGTGACTTTTACCATGGACCAATAACTCAAGAGGACTGCTAATCGTCATACAAGATAGCGTAGCCGGGTATTTAGTACCTATTGGTACACTAGATGTCGCGACGATTACCAAATAGCTATTTTGTAACGTTATTTTACATTGACACATTGATTCTATCAAATCTGCTTCTAGTGATAACAAACACGTCAACTAGATGGCGCTATATTTTACCTCAAAATGGATATGCACCTGGAGTCGTATACAAATACATTGTAAAAAAAAACAATCGCAACTCACAACGTTTCCATCCTCTAAATAATAACTAGAACACTACTTTGTCTATTCTAATGCCATTTAGACATATTGATAGTTTAGCTTAAAATTATTCATATTTCAATGTTACTGGGTGTAAGAAGCGAGAAAAAACAATAGCTACGGTGATTTTAGGCTGAGAACACCGAACGTGCGAAATAATATTTTTTAATTTTATTTGTAATTCCAAGAAGTATGATATCGCAGATATTGCATTGGTCCCAAAGGGTCATATCGGAACGCCACACAGTGGGCCCAAATTGATAATTCTTGGACATAGGAATAACTTGTGGAGTATCGAGCAAATTTTTTTTATGTGATATATAATAACATTCCTAACAACTTTTATTCTTGTATGATTTCTTGAAAAGTTGATAGATTCAGAGAAAAAAAAAAATTTGTATGGACAAATATACATTTTATTTTTTATCTCAAAATATACGAAAATCTAATGTGCGTGGGTTACTTACAGTATAGTTCCCATCATTTTCTATGTAGAAAAAAATAATCCGTCTGCATGTACTTGCGGCTTTGTAAATAAAGGTGCGGCAAAATTGTACATAAAAACTCTTTTATGTACTTTTTTAACAAAATACATGAGCTTCGTGTAATCTGTCATCCATTACAAACAGTGCATAAAGTCCAACAACCCAGTATAAATTAATCTGAAGGTAATTAAAAATAACGGAAATAAAAAGTATAAATTTTAGGCTAAATAATTATTTAATCATGATACAATTTTAGGAATACAGAGCTGATTTTTTTCACATGATACATAATAACATTCCTGATAACTTTTATTGTTATGTAATTTCTTGGAAAGCTGATTGTTTCAGAAAAAAAATTTTAGTTTTTTTTTGTTTGGAGAAATAAACATTTTATTTTTTTATATCAAATTGTAGAAAAATGTAATGTGTGCTTTATTTACAGTATAAGTCCAATAATTCTCTATCAAGAAAAAAACAATCCATCAGCAGGTACTTGCGGCTTTACGAGTAAAAAGATGTCAAAATGTTAGATTTGTTATTTATTAAAAAATAAAACACAATATACTAGTTTCTACTTAACTTTCGTGTTATTGTTATAACGCTCTGTGTAATTTAGCACTAAAATTAAATTTTCTTTAGTCGAAGCTCATGTATTTTGTTAAAAAAGTACATAAAAGAGTTAGCAATTTTGCCGCACCTCTACTTACAAAGCCGCAAGTACATGCAGACGGATTATTTTTTTCTACATAGAAAATGATTGGAACTATACTGTAAGTAACCCACGCACACTACATTTTCGTATATTTTGAGATAAAGAACAAAATGTATATTTCTCCACAAAAAAAAAATTATATTTTTTTTCTCTGAAACTATCAACTTTTCAAGAAATCATACAAGAATAAAAGTTGTTAGGAGTGTTATTGTCTATCACATAAAAAAATTAGCTCAATACTCCACAAGTTATTCCTATGTCCAAGAATTATCAATTTGGGCCCACTGTGCGCCACCGCAAACGGATGACAATTTAGACTTCCTTTAGGTTATACTATATTGCTCAGATTTTTATAGATACTTCCAAGTATTCTTTTATTTTGTTTAGGATTTGCGCCATCTAACTATATTCGCAAGCGTTACGTTATTAATTAGTTAACAACGAACAATGCCATCTATTGATATGCATAAATATCGAAGTTCAGAGAATAATTTTAGTTTATTACTAAATATTTGAAAAACATTACAAGAAAAATAGAATATCTACTATATTTCCTATAAAAGAGGAGTTAATCGATATCCATGGCCATTTACGTAAATATAAACTAATTCCAGGTTATCGATCAGCGCCATCTAGAAATAAGACGGAATTTTGACCTTTTTCAGAGCTACGATTTTTAATATGGAGATTAGCAGTCCTCTTGGGTTATTGGTCCATGCTTTTACTAAATAAGTTACCAGTTGTAATGTTGAAAATAAATTTTTTTTGAAGTTTAAAAATGTGTGTTGACATTTATAATAATATACCACTCGAGATTAAATTATCAGACTTGTGTTTGTTTAGGCATACTTTGGTTACAGTAAACTAAAGTAACAAAAATTCAAGCCATACATTTGCATGTCGATAATGACTTATCGATAGATTATGGTACAACACTAAAGAAATCCGCCATTTGTAACTTTCAAATTTTGGTAATATGCACGTTGATTCTGTACTTAGGGCAGCTCCTTTCTTTTATTTTTTTCCATCCTCTAAGCTACAAAACCAAAATTGTTGTACTACAAATGACAGATTTCTTTAGTGTTGTGCCATAATCATCGATAAGTCAATATCGACATCCAAATGTATGGCTTGAATTTTGAACCTGTTTTTTATGTTTGTGATTTGTACAGTAAACTATACAAATCACAAACATAAAGGTGTGATTTCCAGTCTAAGTTATTTATATGGTAACTATTACTTCAAGAAAGTAAAAACATGGTATTTCATTTTAGAATTTGTTGTATTTTCTATTTATTTTTACTTTTATTTATTTTTATTCCTATTTCATTCAAAAGAATGAAGCGTTAAATCAGTATTAAACAACTTGTATAATATTAATAATTACAAACAACGCGCAACTTCCTGAAATAATATATGCGAAAGTTGCATGCCAACTTAAAATTTGTACCCGATTATATTTTATTATGTGTAATTTTAAGAGTCGAAAAATGTAATTCATCAATATTTATATTATTAGAGAATAAATAAATATAAATACTGAATAAGGAACAGATTAAAAATTAAATTATTGTAAAATTGAATGTTCGCAACCTATATAATATCGAAACAAACAGGCCAGTTTGACAATTTCAAAATTGAAGTTGTGCATGTTAAGAATCAGTACAGAAGCAGTACCTAATTAATAATTACTAATAGTATTTAAAATTTGAAATAAAATTAGCACTGAGTACATATGCTTTAGTGTGAAATTAATTCACAAGTAATTATGGCCGTTAATACTTATATATAGATATTTACTTAAATTAGTCCAGCTCATATAGCTTCATCTCTCGTTATTGCTCGAAAAAGGTGGTTTTTCCCTGCCCCCCCCCCCCACCCCCCCTGTTGAATTACTTTCTTTCTAGAAACCATACATGTATTAGATAACATATGTACTTATTCGAAATCTGTGTGACGAGGACACTGAAATTTTTTTTCCAGTTGCAAGTCAAAACAAAACGCGGCTTAAGTTTTTGTAAGTTGTGACATTTGGGTTTATTGCTTGATAAGAGCGTTTTATAGCCGAATATCTCTGGGGGTCTGTCTCTTATAGTCTTCTGTTGTTTTGTTCAATTATTAATTTTATTATAAAAAAGTCATTTGTAATTAACTTTATTTGATAAAGTGCGGTCATTCATGTTTAGTTTCATTTTGTAGTTTACATTAAAAGGGTGCTTCTATTTACAGCACCGGTAGCGACGTGGTCTTCGTCTTCTGACGGTTGGTACACAAGATCTACAAGTTAGACAGCAGGGAATTTCTTCCTCTTCGCACTGTATCTGCTTACAGCTATGAGTCGCCGGCTTCGGTTTTGCTGGTGCTCGAGGTGTTATTAATTCCACCTGTATAGCAATGAAAATATAAAAACAAAAATGAAATAACAGGATTTAAATAAAAGAGCATCTTATTGCAGTAGCTCTAAGGTTGTTAAAATGTATGTCAAATGATTTGATATGATCCATGTATGGGTGTTGTTTGTGATGTGTTGGTGCCAAGGTATTGCCGAAAAAGAAAACCAAAATACATATCTCTGAATACCCAGCAACTGAAGAGGACATTATACAAAGCGGCCAAGTCCAGTAAAAAAGCATTACTCAGGTCTTGTCTTGACATATCATATTACATAATAGGTTAGCTTATACTGGGTACCTTAGAGCCTATGCACACGGCGTATTTTACTCAAACCACATCGCGCCGACGACGCGCATATAACGCGCGTAAACGCGATTCAAACGCGATGCAGACCATTGCACACGTTCGCAAATTCATTGTATACGCATCGCAGATGCGCTGGAGTCGAGCGTATGTATCGCGCATTTTTAACCGACTTCAAAAAAGGAGGAGGTTCTCAATTCGACTGTATGTTTTTTTTGTATGTATGTTACGCGATAACTGCGCTATTTGTGAACCGATTTCAATGATTCTTTTTTTGTTGGAAAGGGGGTACTTCCATAGTGGTCCCATTTCATTTTGAAGAAAATCATCCACCTCGAAGGGTGGCTGTTCACGCATGAAGATTCATTTTCATAAATAGCGCCTAACATTAATTTAGGAGCAATTACGTTAATGGTTGATTTTGCTATTTCTCCAATTCAAGGCGTTTTTATCTCAATATACTTTGAGTAGTGAGAACCGATTTTTATTATCTCCAGTATCAAGTCCTGTATAGTGGCGAACTAGGAGATATTTCAATAAAACTTAGCAAATAGACGTAATTCCACGTACTTTTGAGGTCGGTTTTTTTAGTACTCTGTACTGAGATTATGATAAAGAGATTTAATTTTAGTTTTGTTTGTTGACTTCAGTTAGTTTTTGAAATGATGCAACTACATGAAATTTTAAATGTAAACGAGATATAGACGAGCTTCGAACGCCCTTCTCGAGAGCGTCAGTATCGCGTTAAAATTGAATGCAAATGCAACAATCTGCCTTTTGAGCCTCGACGGCGCCGTAAACGCGTGTTCGTGAAACGCAAGTCGTCGGTGCGTTTAAAATACGCTGCGTGCAAAGACTCTTAGGCTAAGTTAACAAAGCGTGTAAAACGAATAAATTGAGTCCTGTCGGGAAACCACGAGGACACAGTTCCACACTATTGAATCTGGTTTTAGGGATGCCTCTTATTGAAGTGATGCCAATTTTGGTAAATTCGATCAATGGCACTAAAACCGTAGGCATGTTAGTATGATCGATGTACATTCTAAACGGAGTCCCTTCTACGTGATTTCGCTTTAATGGTCACGCATCCATAGCATACTAATTGTAAACCATCTATTAGGTATTACCAACCTGAACTTAGGACTTTGCAGTCCAAGGTCAAAGCAGCGAGGAAACATGATACCAGTGTTCTTCGTGTTTAGGTTTATTGGCAAACGCTAAGTCTTCAGCCCATTATATTTTATAAGCATATTATTATCTTTTGGTAAACATTCAATATTGATTTAATTATCGATACGAAGTGGACGTGTACCTACGTACTTGAAAACTCTATGGAGTAACAGCGGCTAATTTGAACGAGCCTTAGATTCAGGTATGCTAATAGGTATGAGTTCGGCAAAACTGCTGGGAATCACAAATCTCATTTGTCGTGTCAACAGAACTGTACAACAGAACTCGTGGGTGTAATACCCCTTTCCAAGATTAGGTGATCAAGGTGCTCATTACATTGAATTGGCGTGAATGACACGACGACCATTTTTATATTTGCTCTTGTTTTAAGAGAATTCGAAAATAGGAACGCGTCGAAAGAATTAGAATAACGAGATAAATAAATGTAGGCCATAACAAATATTGCTCTCGGCCAGGGAATCGAACCCGGGACCTTTGCGAGGCAGTCCAGTTTGGTAACCGTTCGGCTACGGAGGCAAATATTTGTAATACATACCACGATATTTCCAGTACGGTTAGGCTCGTCAGTTTGTTTACCAATCTTCAACATGAATACGTCTTTATCTGGATGCAAAACTTTATGAGCTTGAACTCCTTTCGGGGCGTTTTTAGGAGTGACGTTACACACATTGCACAAATTGTTATGCATTTCTTGTTTGCAGTATGTCAGCTCAGAATTCACAGCTGTTCTATTTGTAAGTCCTTCGCAAATATCGTCCGGGATCTAGAAAAATACATTTTTTTAAATTAAGTGTGGTCAAAATGATACTTTTAGCTTGAATACCCAACAATATTCGAAATGAAATGATAATTCTCATGCAAGCAATTGTAAGACTTTTCGTCTACGTTAGACGCAAAGTTTTCAATCATCAACACATTTAGAGACTAGTACGCCTGTTTTACCTGGAAATTGAGGCTGTTGCACATGTTGCCTGGTGCTGGAATGCCACAGTTATCGCTGCAAACCGAGCCCTCGTCTTCACAGGTGCACTGCTGCTGCAGGTTCTGTTGCGACGGCGTTAGTTTCGGGGGCTTGAAAGTGGTCTTCGGTATCCGTATTTTGATCTTTGTAGACAAATATAGTTTCTATTTCATTCGGCATCACCATAACCAAATTACAAGAGTTGTGATTTTAAAAATGTTCATATAGTACTTATTCGTGTGCATGTGATTTCGACCAAAATTAACCAATTTCGGAGAATTTTAAAATTAATAAAATGTATTATTTATTATTATCAAAAAGTATCTATTCTTATCAAAATTACGTTGAAGAGTGAGAAAATTTTGGAAAACGTTTTACTGTAAGGCTTTAACACAATAATAAGGTAAAGAAAATGAACAAAAATTAATCTGGGATAAATCTCATCTTTATAATGTGCAGGTCAGCACTAAAGACAGTGAAAGAGCTTGTGTAAGCTTTAGGAGAGTAGAGCATCTTAGTGCTGCAATAGGAACCTGGATTCAGGATCATAGTGCAAAAAGAAGCAGAGATAGGTAAATTACATTGTATGCAGTAATTTCCATAGTTTGCAGTATAAGATGATTTCACAATAATTATTTTTCTTCTCTTTAAGTACGAGTGATCAGGTATGAAAAAAGTGGCGTTACGATAAAATAATTTCCCGGTTCGTATAAATATCCGTATATGGTGATACCTCATTTCCATTGAACATCGCTCCAATTTCTTCGTATGGCTTGTGTGGTATTTTCATGTGGCTTGTTTTGCCTTGATTGGTTTCAAGTTTGGCTTTTGGATGCTGGTCAGTTTGTGGATGGTGAGTAGGACGCGGGCCTGTTTGTGGTTGCTGAGAAGGTACGGGGGGGCTACCCCTACCTGTTCGTTCTGTGGGGGATGTTTGACCGCTGTGCATTTTGATTAATAAACAAACGTGATAATTTTGAAAATTTATTAATTCGACTTAAAAATTACAGTTGTGACATACTCTTTTTCTTTTTTTTAAACTAACGAAAGTATTACTTTTATCCAAGCCAGAGCGTATAATGTAATTATAGACTATGGATATTTCTAGAAAAGTTCTGAAAAAAGTTTCATATGAAAACTTCTGAAAACTCCATGTTTTGAAAGGTGCGATCTTGGACGTAGTGGTTTTTTAATTTGAATTTGGTAAGTAGGTACATACCTACGTACCTAGGTTCTGTGGCTAATTAAATCTGTAGCTCTCTCTCTCTCTCTCTCTCTCTCTCTCTCTCTGTTACGCTATCGAACTTATGAAGCGAAAACAACAAAACATCTTCATCAGCTTGTTATTGTAGTTCGCGTAGGCCTTCCCCAAAACGTGTCTTTACGCGTCTTGTCCTCAGTAAATATGCACACCAATATTTATCGATTAATATACAGGGGCAAAATGCATGTCTTCCACTGTTTGTTATATTTACTTCTATTTAATAATATATCAGTAATTTAATTCCTGCTAAAATGATATTGTTAAACTGCGACTTCAGTCTAAGTACGATACTAGGTCCTATAACTAAAGGTTAGGTACCTAACTTCCTACATTTTTGTAAATTTGCATCGTGTATCTGTTCTTATTATGTAAATTCAGTTGCACAATTGTCGGAATTTATAGGTTTTATTGTATTGTCGTAGGTACACTATTACGGAATTTGTACATATGAAAGATGGAAATTGAGGCAGTAGCAGATGGCAGTATATTTGGCGGTAGAGAGCAAAATTATGTATTTTTCACATTTGGTTCAAAATGTAGAGGTCGTTTTAAAGTCTCTTCTTCCTCCTAGCAGGTCTTCCGCAGCAACAGGGACATTCGGGTTCGCACTGTGTCTCCCTAGTATCAACACGATACACTGGAGGCTGGTCGTTGTATTTTGGAGTCACCAGTTCCAGCTCCATCTTGCATTTTTTGTCTCCATTGGGGCCCACTTTTGCAACCTTTAAATTGACAAGTAATAGTAACTTATCTTTCGTACTTAATCTGTTGCTGTTGACGTAAATAGTGTGCTAGGGTAAATACCCTAAAGCGTGAAACACACTGACGCCCATCCGGCACCCGCGAGTGGCATGTTGTCGTTCATATAAATATACAGAATTACGTCTATCGAGCTTCCGCTTATCCGATAGCGCAGTTAAAGCAATCAGCGGCCAGCTGCAAAGTGCTCTTAAAAAACGCCGTGCTCCCGACCCGATACGTTTCCGACTCGCACCCGCAGTGTGTTTCATGCTTAATATCCATAATCTAGTGTCATAGGATACTTAATCTTATCTCTGTTCATTGCGATTATAATAATTTATTTTTTGGAGAAGAACCTGCAAAGCTTTTACATCTAAAACCGGTACCAAATAAACCCTTGCGGCGATCGCAACCACAGGGTTCAATTCGAAGTAAATGCGATAAAATATCATTTCAACAAGTCAAAACTTTAATTTCTTCGTTGTATTTGTACTCCAAAAAAAATTTGGCTATTAACTTCAGGACTTAATCGTGTATGAAAACTATTTTATTTACCTCGTCGTTTCGGACGTGTTGCAACGTCCATGATCTCGAAGAGATTGAACAAGCAGGTGTCAACATCTAGCAGTGCGAGATTTTTACCGCAGTAAATCCGCAGAGTATCCGCACTTGGTACTCATTATTTATTTGCGCACTAGGGTTGTCACTAGACCGACACACAACACTCACGATGTCCGGGCTTATCATTTATTCCATAGGTAAAATTTTTACACTTGAAAACGTCATTTTTAAGCTACTTTTTTTTAAGCCACTGCTCGTTCAGTACGCTGACCTCCCTGAGAAGAACGAGCATGGAACTCTAGGGATTGCTCTTTTCAAATAAACTTAAATGCTATGGAATACACTTTGAATCATAATTATGTGGAATCTAGACTCTTGTTGTCTTTCCATACTTCTTTATCTAAAACATACTCTTCAAAATACTTTTAATGTAAGTTATTAAATTAGGAAATGATAATCTTAATATATTCTCCGGAATCTTATTGTAAAAACGTATACAGTTCCCCATAAAAGAATCGTTTACTTTAGTTAAACAAAATCGTTGTACCATGAGTTTGGACTTAGTTCTAAGATTAGTATTATGAATATCTTATTTCTTAATGAAATTATGTTATTTTTACGGGCATACAAAATATTTGAGTAAATGTACTGCGATGCCACGATACCAGTCTCCTCAAACTTTTATCTGAGAGAAACCCGAGAACCTAAACGGTACACAGAACGAATCGCTCGTTTTTGCAACACAAATATGGTTTGTAAATCTGCCGCTTTACCTCACATGAGAATCCCGTAGGACATTATACTATGGAAGTAACTAAAGTAAACAAGTCTAGTCTAGTCTAGCAACATCGGTAAGCTCACGTATTCTACGGACTGCGTATGCAGCACAGCTTAATCTGCTGGCTAAGGAAGATATATGTGGAAACCATTGAAGTTTACTATCTAAGGTCACTCCCAAAAATGCAGCTTTATTAACAAAGTCTAACTTTTCTCCATTTATTTCTATGATTGAACTAGTCGATTTTACATTAGGTAATTGAAATTTAATACACTTTGCCTTCTTGGCATTGAGCAATAATTTGTTAACATTTAACCAATAAACTACCTTTGAAAGGGTATCGTTAATATTATCATAGTTAATGTCATGTCTGTCTGTTTTTTTGAAAATCAAGGATGTGTCGTCAGCGAAACAATACTATGTCGCAAAGGTCCTTAACAAAGAATGGTAGATCAGTAATACAAATGAGAAATAAGACCGATCCAAGTATAGAACCCAAGGAAGTCACTTCATTTATGAAACATAATCCAGTGGTTTTTATACACGATTAAGTCCTGATTTTAAAATCAAATAATGTGCAAAAATCGTGAAAGTTTAAATCAGTGGAGTGTTAACTTCAGCTATCATGACGTTGTATATAAAATATGCATATGACAAATAACGCACGCGCTGAGCCGTATCATTCAGGTAGGTACCTGTAGCGCAAAAGTAACGTTTTGGTGCGCGCGAAGAGTATGTTCACATGATGAGCTTTCAACGGGCATTTCGCTAATGTGCGTTTATAACTGTAATGCGTAAATAGTCGTACATGTTCACATACTGATGCCCGTTTTAAGTAAACGCGCGTTCGACGCAGCGGATAACCCCGGAAATACTGCCATTGGTGAGCGCGTGTTTTCGACGCGTTAACACAAGTTTTTGCGATTGTCTATTAAAAAATATTTTTGTAGAAATGGGTAAGACTATAACACGGATTTAGTTGAGAAACGTCCTGCAATGTAGGATATGCCACGTAGGAATTATTCGAATAAGATTTTAAGGAGACGAGTTTGAGAAGAACTTGTACTTATATTTTGTGAGGAGATGAGGACGATAAAAAGAAGAAAATGTTGGGTCGGTAAATATGATACATATATGTATTTTATTATTAATTAACATCTAAACAATCGCTCAACGCCCAAAAAGTCCATACCATATCTACACTACACAAAAAAAAACCAACGCGCGTCAAACGCTTGTCGTGTGAACATATCATGCGATACCAATTCACAGGACATTGAAAGTGATAAGAATATATTTATATGTTTAAATCAATATGACCCAAAATCAGTGCTGATTTTCTATTAACTTCGTTCTAAGTTCTATACTAACTAGTTCTATACTATGGATATTTTATGGTCCGAAATTATAAGTATTATAAGTATTATTATTATTATACTACTTGAGGGTGCGTTGTACCTTTAATACAAACACATCCTTTCTGGGGTGTAAAACCGTCTGTGTTAATCCAGGCTCTGGTACGTCGGCTGGCACCATAGTGCATAGATGTGGAGTTCTTTGACATGGGGTACGAGTAGATCTTGCGCCTGCCTGTTTAAACAACAAATTGAGAATGGATATACTTACGAAACTATCTACAGTCATCAAACCATGACCATAGTTCAAATTGTATTCCTTTGAAGTATGCTTGCCTTTATCGTCTAACGCCCGGCGCCTAACGGGACGAGGCGGAAAAGGGATATTTAGGTGATGAATAGTAATATACCTTAAGATTATGACGTTATAGTTGCAATTTCAATGATAACGATCGTAGATGCAAAATCAAGTTGAGGTATGCTTAGGCAACCTTGAGGATACGTCGGCAGCCTTGGGGATGTTTCGGCAGTCTTCAGGATGCTTCGCAGGCCGAGTGCGACTATGCGGGTATACGAGGCGAGGGGGGGCACGCACAACTAGACTGCTAGGAACATGGACTAGGCGCGAGCACGATACCTCTGTCCACTAACGGGATCCTCTGTCGAGCGATCCCGTTAGTGGGCGCCGGATCTTAAGAATCCTAGGATATCCACGCAGACTAACTAACTATATTTAAATTGAAAATAAATAGCTTATGTCAAAAAACAATAGCGTTTCCAAGAAATATCTATGTCGCAGCCGTGTTGTATAAAGCGCCGTATTACATCACGACTAGCCGGTTTTCAAAACGGCGCTGTTATTTAGTAAGGCTACCTCATGTGGCACGGATTACTTAACAGACACATCATTCGAGATCTGGCCACTGGACCATCGCAACGATTCGGTCAGCCCTGGCAGAATAGGCGGATCAATCATGGGGAGGCGTCTCCTACCATCTTGCATAGGTCCTGACGAGTTGAGTGCGTTGTTATCCATGACGGATTTTCCCTCGGAAAAAAAATAAAAGGTTAATTAATACCTATATGAAAAAGCAGCAAATTTGTTTGCGTTTCCGAACATGTTTTATCTCCTCGAGATAACCGTATTAGAAAATAGCGTGCCGATTTAAAAAGTGGCTAATTACTTAATACCCGGCGCTTTATACGATATGGCTGCGACATCTACGTAAATAATCTTCAAAACTCAGTGTATGGCAAAATATTTTTGCAGTTTCCACGTTCTGTACACGGGGTATTATTGAATGTTGATCGTCGTAGGTCATGTAACAAACTTTTAGGGCAGATAATTTTTTTTAAATATGTGAATTAACAGATATATATAGACGACGCAAGTACAGCAATTTGTATGAAAACGAAGCGTGTCATAATTTCTATTCAAGTATTTGTTGATTACAAATAATCTTAAGATTAATATAGTAGAAAAATACTAGAATAAGATAGTTAAGTTCTTTATATTACTTCTTTTTAAAAAATGTTGATAAAATTTTTATTAAATTGATATTCAATTATTTTTATGTGAAATTACTTAATTAGTTTGTTATAATATTAATACAAGGATCGAACACTCAGAAAAAATTTCTTCGATCCGGCTGGATTCGAACCGACGTTTTCTACCATACCGTGCCAGACGCTATACCAACTAAGCCACAAAACGAATGTTGATTATGAAAATTAATACTTTAATTTTTAATCGACTTCAAATGTTAAAATTATTGTCCTTCCAATAAAATGAGCTTATTATATAACATCTTTTTGTAATAGAAGATCTTATCGATTAACTTAAATAATGAAAACCCACGTCAATATATGAACTTGCGACTGCCTTAACTAATTTTACTAAATGGTTTTCTGTTGGTGATTGATCAAATTGATGAATGACAAGACAAATGAAAATGTTACTGCTGACAAAATATGGTAAAATCTTATTAATCAGAAGAGGTTTACTTAATGACGGCCTCGTGTGAAATTTTTGTGATTTGTTTAATATTTGTCGGATTTCTAACTCTGCTACTCTGCATATTTGGATGGCATCTTAGGTGGGATAAGCAACGAACTCATACGTATCACCAACTCCAAGTTTTTGTAAAGACAGTGCACTGTTACATTCTTTGCATTTTATATTTTTTGTATTACTCGCACTACATATGCGGCGATGTATGTAATTATTTGCTCACTATATTTGGACATTCGAGGCAACGTGCTGTCAAAAACTATCGAAATTACAGATACTACTGATAATAGATACTACAAAACTGAAAAAAAAAACGAAACGTTACTAAACGTTATAACAAAAATGTTATGGAATATTTTAATAATAATAGGGGTTAAAGTATGAAATTGCCGATTTGTACTGAAAAT